GTTATCCATCACCTGATTTCCGAGCCTGCGCACAGTTTTGTTTTGAATGTCGTTGATGGTGGCCATGTATATCTAAGGAATATTTTAACCTCCGTTTGAGTTACAGCAGCAGTAAGGACACACCGCGGGAAATCCCGTAAATCTGCTGTACCCGTCTTCGTAAATCCGCGGGTTAAACCCGTATATCTTTGGCATCAATCGCGAGTCCCCCTTACTGCTGCTATAGTAAAGGTGCACACGGACGGCCGATTCAAAATGTCAAAATTTGTTGTGTGAGTTGCGATGAGGTTTTTCAAATTTTTTGCATGAGACTATTATACAAATCCAGAGTCATGAAATATGCCTGGTGAAAAGAGCTTGTAAATTTTCTTCCTATATAAAGTTGTGTTAGATGGAATAGTGAACGTTTAGCAATAGACGACTTGCACTAAGAGGTCACGTGATCAAATCGGCCATTGTAGTTGGCATTCTACAGGATTTTAGCTATGCGAGAACGTAAAAAAAGATGGCGGACTCGGGTATTTTTTTTGGTGACAAAAGGTAAATTAGGGCACTAAATAACTATAAAAATCCCCTTTTCTTGCAAAAAATATATTCTTAGTAGATATCTAAAGTAAATTTTTGCTATTAACTAGCCTAGAAGAGAAAAAATATGGCCGGTATTTTTGCAATAGGATGTGAAGACCTACGAAGTGTTTAGTATCGTTTTGCTGGCTTCATGTGTTTATTTTTTCATGTGTTCATTTTGGTATTCCGATGAAGCAACTTGACAAATTGCAACGTATATTAAATGCAGCTGCTCGCATTACCATCAGAGCAAAGAAATTTCAACACATAACACCTATACTCAATCGTGTTCATTGGTTGAACGTTGCCAAAAGAATTGAATTCAAGCTTTTAACGGTCACATACAAAGCTATAAACGGTATCGCTCCATCCTATATAAGTGATATTCTCAAAATACACCAACCTACTCGTAAGCTAAGGAGTGCCACACAAGGAGTAATTTTAAAACAACCTCCATATCGTACTAAGTCATTGGGTGCGCGTAGCTTTGCCGTAGCAGCGCCCAGACTACTATGGAACCGTTTACCACCAGATATAAAAACATCGCAGTCTTTGGAAATATTCAAGAGAAAACTAAAAACATTTTTGTTCAATTTGTAACTTTAATCTATTTTTTTTTTCACTTGACACTTCGTCGTGGTATTTGTAAAGCGCATTGAGAGTCTATAATGCGCTATATAAAAACATATTATTATTATTATGTTTTTTCATATTCTCCTCTTTCACATCCCATAATGCCTTGCGTAACCAACCAAAAACTGTCCCAAATTGAAAGGTTTCTTAATTGAATTTATACTATACCTGCTTTTATCTGTACAATACTGATTATCAGTTTATTCCAAGTTATTTTTGCGTGTACAGATCATTAAGAGTTTTGGTCTTACAGAAAATGTATTGACTTACGAAAAATTTTTTAAAATTTACCATAAACGTCTTCAAGCTTCTATCTTTTTCTGTTTTTACTTCTTCATTATATCTTTGGATACCAAACAAGGTATTTTCGACATTTTCTGATCAGCCTTCAGCAAAATAAGTGGGTTTTACCCTCTGGTTACCCCCCAAAGACGCAAAGGATTATTGTGATGTGAAAGTCGAGAATTAACGTTTTTCGTCGATCCTTAATTTGAATTTGGTCATCCGCTTTGCTCGTAGCATATTGCTTGTGTACGGCCTACTCTTCTTCAAACTTCTTTTTTAATTTTGTTTTTAATTTTTCTTTTCATTTATTTAACTTCTAAAGAGTTGAATTCATTGACACTTTGGAGTGGTGATAACTAGCGTGGACTGCGTCGGTGTTTCTGAATAAAACAGTAGGAACTTGTAGATAAATTGGATCACCGTTAGTTTCACAAATCTTTTTACGGTGATCCAATTTATCTACAAGTTCCTACTCATTATGATATTTTGTTTCGTGATGTTTTATCATCATATTAGCGTTTTCCCTTAATTTAAATATGGTCATCCGTTTTGCTCGTAGCATACTATTGCTTGTGTACAGTCTACTCTTCTTCAAATTGCCTCTTTTATATTCTGTAACCTTTTTAAATTTTTCTTTTTATTTACTTAAAACTTCTAAAGAGTTGAATTCGGCAAAAGAAGAGCTACAGTAACGATAACCACAACGATATAATGATATATTAGATAGACAAATAAATGCATTATTATAAATTGTAAGTATATTTGGATGATTTGAACAATTTTGGACCGAATTAACCGGATTTTAGAGATATGAAATCTTTAATTCTGTCTAAAATCCCTCCCTCAAGATTTTTTTAAAATTGCAGTTTTTTGATTGACGGACGTCTTCCGTCGAATCAGCACCTCGGGGGTCGCACTTCAACGACTACTAAATTTTAATATAAAAAAAACACTCTTGTTTTTGTTCACTCATGATAGACAATCTGTCTTCTTAAGCGCTATGCCGGATGGCGAGTGAAAAAGTAGGGTTTTTTTCATCAAACGGAAGTTTTCATTACACGCACGACTTTGTTTCATAGACAGCTGTACCAACTATTTCGTCTCGTTTGGCAAATATTGGACCAGTCCATTTTTGGTAGAAATATGAGTGTGTTTGAATTAAGAACTGCCTAAAAACCCTATATTCAGTATTCGGTTTATAATTTTTTTGCAGACATCACTGATGTGTTGATTGTATTTGTATAAGACTCACGGAAACTTTCCCACTGAAACGTTTAACGTTTAACGTTTAACATCCGTGGAAAACAGACTTACATTTTTTTTTTCCCGCGAAGGACTAGCGTATCCGAAACGTCAATAAGTTTTTTTCATCTTTTCACGGTGTATAATTTACCCTTTCGTCATTACTGTTTCATTAGAAACACCGACGCAGCTCACACTAGTTTTTAGCTAGTTACCCTTTTATCATTACTGTTTCATTAGAAACACCGACGCAGCTCATGCACACTAGTTTTTAGCTAGTTATCTCTTCAGACCTGCAAGAAGAATAGAATAACCGCTAATAGAAGAACAACGAATCAAAAAATGAATTCGACGAAGGGTTTCACAGACTGTATTTTCTGGACTTCTGGTCACATCAATCCTCTCAACTACGACTCATCTAGTTTCTTTTACGTGAGTCGAGCAGTGGTTGCAATCAATTGTATTTCTTCACCTGTTTCTGCGGTTGGTAATGGTCTTGTATTCTTGACAATCATGACCACAACTTCGCTTCAAAATCCTTCAAATGTTCTTATCGCATCGCTGGCTTTATCGGACTTCCTGATTGGACTTATCGTGCAGCCGTTGTTTACAGCAATTGTTATGCGCAAAAGTCTCTTCATAAGTTGTAACTTTGAAGATGGTACAACATTTATGGGCTTCTTGTGCACTTCTATATCAGCAACGTTGATGGCAGCGGTTAGTTGCGAGCGATACATGGCCTTGTTTCTTCATCTCAGGTACAACACTCTGGTAACGACCAAAAGAGTTATCATTGCCGTTTTACTGATCTGGATCTATTGGATCACCGATACTTTGGCATTCTTTCTCGGAGGTATTGCTTTCATCTTGGGACAAGTTTTCTGTACCACAGCATGGCTCTTGTCGTCATTTGYAATTTCTCTGTCGTACTTCAAGATTTTTGGCCTTGTTCGTCACCACCACCGTCAGATTAACTCCCAGCAAGTATCAGCCGGAGATTCTAAGGCAATTGCGACCTCATCACAAACTAAGTTGGCCATCACCATGGGATATGTCATCTGGGCATCCCTACTCTGCTACATGCCTACCACGATTGTCTTTCAGTGGTTCATGTTTAGCAAGAATCCGAATTCCGCTTTATTCAACGCGTTTTATATGACAATGACAATTCAGTTTATGAGTAGTAGCTTTAATCCAGTCATCTATTGCTGGAGGAGACGGGACATTAGACTTGCTACTATTTCTATGCTTAAAAGCACATTCGGGCTCAAGCAGAACAATACCCTGAACCCAACTGGGTACTCGGCCAACACAGATAGAGAAACTAAGGAGACATCAAGGGTAGCGTAGCGCAACCGCGCCTCCCGCCTCCCGCCTCTGCATGGCATCACTTGTGAGTAGAGTTTGTTAGGTCTCTCCATGGATTCGAGGGAATTTCTTCGGTTTTCTTCTATTCGCAAAACCTAACATGCTAATATCCTATTCGATCTGTGAGTTAGCCATGCCCTGACTTTGACCAGCCCAAAGCCGGTTGTAGGGTTTGATCCATGAGAAGCATGTCCTAACTTTGATCAGCCCAGAGGTTGTCTCAGGGTTCGATCTCATGATCTGTGAGTAAGTCATGCCCTGACTTTGATCAGCCTAAAGGTTGTTACAGTGTTCGATAACTCTGAAAAAATTTAATTTAAAGAAAAATCTATYAATGTGTCTTATCACTCGGTATATATCACGGACTCAGCATTTTAAATAAAAGGACGCCTTTGACACTGATTTTGAATCAGTGCAGCTCAATTTGTAGGGATAGGCACGAAAGCAAAACTGCTTTTTGAATTAATGACATTTTCTTTAAAAATATGTTTAATTGTTAAAGACTGTATTGACGTCTTTGGGATAGCCAAAGATAATCAAAATACTAATAAGTTTATTGATATTCTGCTATAAAGACAAAGGTTGCCGCTTTCTCTCGTATATACGAGTCATAAAAAAAGGATAGTTAATGTTTACTAATAAATTGTACAACTACTCTCATTGGTTTAGCGTTCTTATATCATAATGTTATTTATCTTTAAGATAAAGGATTCTGCTTTCTCTCGTATACACTTATTTCAATAAAGTTAGTCACCAAAAACCTAGAAAGCTGAGATCACTGAGCATCATGGGAAACTTTTCATATCACAAAAGCATATATATACAAAGCTTTTTTAATACAAACTTCAGCTCGATGATGCTCAGAAGAGGTGAGACTGTAACCGGTAAAAGATTCGCAAATCCATGAACAGTTATCAAGCGGTTGAACGTGTAAAACGAATCTACCCACAATCCTTGTCGGCCTCAGCTTTATAGCTTTTCAGGTGACTAACTTTATTGAAATAAGTGTATACGAGTCATAAAGAAACAGGAAAGTTCATACTTACTAATAAATTGCACAACTACTCTCATTGGTTTAGCGTCATTATATCTGTTTATTCTTAATTATAAGTGACTTACATTTAATTGCAAAGCACTAGCCAAAATACTTAATGGTTTGGTCCGCAAAACAGAGCGTGGTGCAACTAAGTGCGGCCCGAAAAACAGTGGAAAACATGCGAAACTGATATATAAATTAACGTAAATTTTATTTCCTTTCCTTTCCTTTCCTTTCATTCCTTTCCATGGTGAACTGGACCGGGCCGAGGTTGTGAAAACTTGTAACGAGTTTGGACGCGCGCTGAGTCATGAGACTTGGTTGTTTTACTTCTTAGTAGGCAAGGAGGTTTTGGCTTTTGAATCGATTAACATTTACTTGGGTTATCTTTCTATTTTTCAAGAGAGTTTGCTATGCTTTCTGCCATATTGAAACATTTTCTTTCCCTAAAATTGTCAGCAGTTATCCTATTCGTTACAAGTTTTTCCTGCAACCTCAGAGAGGCCAATAGCAGTGGTTGAGAAAGACAGTTTTGAAAATGGGAGCTAAAGACATTGTTAGAATGTTGTTATCTTCAATCAAACTTCATATTGTCTTTTGTGCGGGATCCCTGTGTTTTTAAGCGTTCTGGGCTTCCTTTGCCAAAGGCTAGGTTTCTATGGTAATATTCAAGATGGTGGACAGTTTCAAGTGTTTCTTCGCTTATATCTGCAAGTTTTGTTCCACATTCTTGACATTTTAAAGCTTTAAATGGCGAAAAAATCACCAAAAGAAATCTATGTTCACTTCCAAACAAGGTAAGCTTACCAAAAATATGTATGTAGAGCTGATGGCCACAAGAACGACACTTTTATTTGGGAAATACTAGAACATTAATTACAATTACTTATTATTTTGGTATCCATGGCCAGCCATCGTTCTTTATCGCAGACCAGAAAAAACGCATGCTTAGTAGCTGGAAAAAGAATGGCGACGAAATAGCCCAGCGTATGCGTCGTACCCACGTGACACTACGTCACTTATGCTTGATTAATAAATAGTCTAGCTATAGTATATTGATAGTTTTTCTTGCATGCTTATTGATTGAAATTAATGTAAATTGAGATGTATCAGCTATAATAACTGCTTTGCTAATGTAGGCAGCATTAATGAGTGAAGACTAGATACATCAGACAAAAATGAGAACGCGGCGTTCATAATAGGCTAGACCTTGGATGACCGATATTAAAAGTACCTTTTTGCATGGACCTTTTATCATGGCTAGACTTGGCGCGCATGATTATGAAACGGGTGTTCAAGCTTTTAGTAGACGCGTAAGATCAATGCTTATCCAATCAAAATGCTCGGACACGGTATCGTCACGGTCACGCCACAGCACGTAAAACCGTGGAACTTTAAATTTCTACAATATTTGTTGTGGCTGTTTATGAGATGCTTGCACACCAGTTCAGCGATTCTTTATTGAAAATGGGTGATTTACTATTTCATTGAAATATCTCTCAGTTTACTTTTGAAATTAGCATTTCTTAAATTATATTGATTGTTGATTCTCTCTTCGTTGATTCTCTCCTGTGCTTCGACTTCGAGGGGTTTTATTCTGGTTTTTCCTCCCTTCGCAAAAATAAACTTCTAAATTCCAATTGGAATCTAGTGTAAAAAACTGAGATCCACCCTGTTAAAACGTTAGTGGTCAATTTCCATTGATTTATTTCTTTAATTTATTTTAGTTTCGTTTCACTTTTTATTTTGATGCGAAATCAAAGGAAATAAGGGAATGTTTGTGTGGGAGTTGGACACTGTTTCTGTATTTAAGCACAGCGTGAGAAATCACATTTGTTCATGGAGGAATGCCATGCAATGACGTCGCTTCCCAAGAACTGAGAGCTTATCGCCGAATGATGGTGGTAGCACAGAGCAAGATAGCCTTTGCCGCTAACCTCTCTCTTGTCATTCCCACAAGAATGAAGACAAAAACGATCATTCAAAAACTAAAAACGAGATTAGGTTTTGAATAGAATTTTATAGCGGCATGACATCACCGATGCAACTGGCGTGATTCTCAAGCAAGTACAATCCAGAACTGAATTGATATATGTTGATAACTATAAGAAAACGCTTCTGGACGCGCGCCATTGAAAACTGAGTAATTTTTGAGGTACAAGTTTGGAAAACTTATACTTTAACTACAATGAAAAAGAAATCAAGGTTAATGCGTGGAAAACTGAAAAGGCAAGGAAGAAAATGAATAAAAACGAGAGAAAATAAAAAAATAAAAATAAGGGCAATGCAAAGGTACAAAAATATGTAGTCTAGAGGTACTGCTATTGATCAACTCGACCTTCCTGTAAAACTACATGAACATAAAGTAAATAGGATTTGCACCATATGTGCTTTATGGAACATTTCCGTTTAATGTTGCTGCCTCGCTGAGCTAGGGTAAAAGGGTTCCACTCTGTCAACGGGAACAGCTTAACTTGCATCACTAGTTAGTGTCGCTTTTAAAACCATTTATTTTGATTTTTGTTTTGATTTCCTTTTCGTTTTTGCACATGTTCAACAGTAAAAACAACGTAGAGGTACGCATTGTGTCAAAAGCGAGCCACAGTAGTAATGGAGAATGAATATCGAAAGAAAAAATATCATTCGTTTCCAGCACTTCGTCCTGTCTAACTTCTTGTGTATTTTCTTGCCAGATTAATTTTTAATTTTAGGTAATTTCGTTAAAGATTTACAACTCCCAGCCACATTCTCGTTTTCTTTATCCTATCTGTGATAGTTCTCTGTCTTTTAGTTAATGCAGGTTTTGAACTTGGGAGTAAAATAGGGAGACCACACGCATCGCCTTGGCCTTGTACGGAGCCTTATCAACAGGTCCTAAACTCCTATCATTTAAGTTTACACATTGTTGGGACGCAAGTTTACACCTTGTGTGGTCTAGAAAAGATATCTCTATTTTATATTTTAGATAGTATTTTGAAATCCTAAAAACTCATGGAACAGTTTTTCTGAAATTTTTCAGTTATAGAAAACCTTTCCTTCTTGCCATGAAAATCGTTTGAGAGTTGAGGCATGTTGTAGCGAGTCTAGGCCAGACGATGTGTGGCCGAAGCTTAGTTATATCTCGTACGATAAAAAGCCATTATGCTGAGAAAAAGCATTATTAATCCAACCTCACATTTTTTCACAAAGAAAACTGTTACATTTTTATCGTTTTTTCATTATTTTATTTTAAATACTCCGTGCATCTCATCATTACTTCTGTACAAGATTTGTTTTTACAGCGACATGAAAAACAACTGCTTAATCCTACGCGAAAGAACAGGGTAAATAAACTACGGCTTTTCAATGTCTGACAGAAATATTTTTATTGTTCTAATGCCCCCTAATCTGAGTTTAAACTTCCTGTGACCAGCGTACTGAAAGATGTCGCGTAGGCATTTTACGTGACGCAGAATGAGTAATACCGAATACTTCAGTGTACGAATTAAAAACGTTAAAATAATCCATGTAGCCCTCAGCATGGCTTTGTCTTCACTAGTAACCTTGATATTTCAATAAAGCGTGGTCATTCATACCTCTTCATACTAATCATTTTATAAGGGGTTATAGTAATTGTTTTTCACTGTGGTAGGTAGGTATTTTCTTGTTACGGTCCACGTCATAGAAACGTCATATTCCGATATATTCCTTGAGCCAAAAGGTCACAATTACCAGCACAATAGCGTAGGCAGACACTTCACGCTTGAGTCCGCTTGCTCGTGGGTTATCAATTGAAATATCAAGTGATTTGCATTTAGTAGTCAGAGTAAGAGAGACCCGACCATGATAAGACATCACTTGTCAAGGAGTGCTACCTAATGAATGACCGCAGGAAGTAAGAGTTTGCGAAGTAAGCGTGGAAACCACATTTTCGACATTTAAAAAGTATGGTCAAAGGGCCAGTGAGTTCAGAAAACATGTTGGAGAAAGGAAAATCTGTTGATGCGGCTAAAACAGACGCTGGATTTGCTAGCACCTTGGACGAATTATCACAACACATTTCTTGTATCTCGCTAGAAAACCAAGGACAAAATCATAAGGAATCGGACAGTAGAAAGAGGATTTCGGCCTCAGATTCGGAATTCAGTGATCGAAGCTCAATGGCTTCGGTAAATTCGGTAAAATGGAACCCTTGTATTATGGAAGAAATTTGTAATGAGTTGAACAATAACGCAGTCGGCACAAGTGTCATCGAACGTGGAAATAGAGCGAAATTACGGCGATCCAACAGCACTCTACCGAGAAATCGAAGATCAGGAAGGACTGTGAGTGACCCTGTAAGGTCTGTAATACCTAAAGTTTGTAGCACAGTGGTGCGAAGTTTTAGTTTAAATAGACAACCCATATCTATTGGACACACGGAGTCATTCTGGGAAGATGGCTGTAAGACCACAGACTTATGCTGTACCGAGCTTTAGCTTCAATAAGTGAAGGTTTTGTGGGGTTATAAAGTCTTACTTGACTTCTGAAGTAAATGTCATGAGAATAATTCGCCAACAAGGCATAAGGCTGTGGATTGTCAGGTTCACTCACAGATGGTTGACGAGATAATCCCAACCATGGTTTCTAACATCAAGTCACATCAAGGGGCCACAAGGCAATTTATTTAATATGCAAGCCAACTAAAAAGATTTAGGAAGAAGTTCCACAGTT